ATTTTTATATAGTGTTGAGGATTGAACCCAGGGCCTCACGCATGCTAGGCAAGCACTCTACCACCGAGCCACAACCCCAGCCCGCCATGCTAGCTTTGAACTTGTGATCCCTCTTCCTCAGCCTTCTGAGTCACTGAGATTACCGGTTTTTCCACTGCACCCATTGAGATAAGCTAATTTTTTAAAAAAAAATTTGTTTATTTTGAGTTTAAATTTCTTCATTGGGTTCTGAGGATGTAACTCTGCAGCCGAGCACTTACCTAGCATGCTTAAGGCCCTGGGCTTCACTCCTAGCAACAATAAGAACAACAACAAAATTTTTTCAAGCAGTCATCTATCTGCTCTTTGGTTTACTATTGACTGGCCTTTGTCATTCCCTATAGACTCAATATGCCTAACTTAAATATTCATTTATGTTACTTTCCTGGTCCTCATGGGGCATTTGAATTTGTGAACCCTCTTTTAGAATTCTGATAATTTTTGCTGGAGTTGCCAGGAACAGAAGCCAGATCACAGAGTAGTGGGAAAGAAATTAGGAAGGGGAGCCATGGAAAATCTTAGTGAAGAAGAAAAAGTTAGGGAGAAATAAGGATTGCCAATTCAAGTGATATGTGCCACCACTCCTTTTTGTTACTCAGAGAAGTCCTTATTACATTTCCCAATGAGTCTTTCCTTTTAGCTAGTTTTTCAGTCCATAGGAAAATAGAAATAGTACCTTATAAAGGTGAGTTACTTACTGAATACAGGCTTGGTGAGAGTACAAAGAATTAAGACCTGATATCTAGAAGGGAAACAGAGACTCACAAAAAAAGCTGATAAAAAGACTTGGAGGGCTGGGAATGTCTCTCAAGTGGTAACATGCTTGCCTGGCATGTGCGGGGTGCTGGGTTCGATCATCAGCACCACATTAAAAAAATAAAATAAAAGATGTTGTGTCCACTGAAAACTAAAACATAAATATTAAAAAATTCAAGTTGCCCAACATCCCTGAGGACAATCTTCAAGGGAGGATGTAAACTATATGATTAATTTTAGGCTTCCATTAAATGGGTAAGAGTTACAAAGTTACATTACTTACAATAGTAGTGAACTGTACAAAAGTGGAAATGAACATTTTTTTTTTTAAATAGTACTGGGAGTTGAACCAAGTGCACCCTACCACTGAGCTACATCCCCAGTCCATTTTTTATTTTTATTTTGAGACAGGGTCTCTCTAAATTGCTGAGGCTGGCTTTAAACTTGGATTCTCCCACCTCTACCTCCTCAGTTGCCATAATTTCAGGCATAAGCCACTGTGCCCAGCTAAACGTTTCATTTCTTAAACAGATCCATGATACTTTAAGAAGAAGAAAAGATAAATCTTTTTTATTCATCTTTGGATAATTGTTTGTCATAAGCAACCTTGCCTGCTGGGCCCCAAGGCATGTCTATAATCCCAATGACTAGGGATGCTGAGGTGGGAGAATCACAAGTTTGAGGCCAGTCTCAGCAACTTAATGAGATCCTGTTTCAAAAAAAAAAAAAAAAATTAAAAGAACTGGGCATGTAGCTCAGCAGTAAAGCATCCTGGGTTCTCAGTACCCCAAATCAATAAAACAGCTTTGATATGGTCATTTGCATAATTAGTTTTCAAAAAACTACAAAATAGTCTTTTTCTCTCCTTCCCCTTTTCAGGATGGTCTGCTTGTCCTTCATTATGGTCTTGTGGTTTCTCCTCTGAAAATAACTTGAAGATGCTAGGCATATTATGAGGAAGGAAGCAAACAAAGTAAGGAAATTTCTACAGGACTGTATTTCACCAAAGATTTCCACAAAACATGTAATCACTACCACGTTGTGCTGTTCAAGACATACCTTATCTATTTTCAGCACCAAAAATCCTAAGTACAATTGGAATGAAGGAATGCACCTGTTTCACTAGAGACTATATGTAAAAAGCACTAGAGCTCAGGGGAATTTTTCCAAAACAGCATATTTTAAAATTCCGTATACTTTGATGTTGATTTTTGCTTCCCATCTTTGAGGTAAAGTGATCACTGTTTTCTCCTTTGTTGAGCCATATCCCTTTAAAGTTGGCAGTAAGGATTCTGTTCTGTGGAACAGCATCAGTTGGACAGTCATCCTTTTGGGAAAAAGAGGTATGCTTTTGAATGGGAGATTCAAAGCCAGTCTTTGTTAAACCACAGGGTATACTCTCAAAAGACCAAAACTACTGGCTGCTTTTGTATTTGCCATCATATTTTAAACTTGTAGAGTTTCCCCCCCCCTTAAACCAGCAATACTACTAAAGAAATGTTTGTTCATAAAATGGATGAATTATCATTATCTGTGTGAAGACACTGTGTCATAAGCCTTCAGTGTAATAAGACTTCTTAACATATCTTACAATAAGAGGTGCTTATTTGTGATGACATATTTAATTTTATTTGCATACAAAGTATGATTTGTTGATAACCTGTAATGGCACTCCTTCTGAAAGTAATAATAAAACATTTCAGGTGAATTTCAGAAGTTTACAGAATACTTTTTGTTTCCTCAGCAAGTCAGCTTAATATTCATTTTCCCCTTATTTTGTGACTGGGATAAAGAATAAGAATGTTTTAAAGCTGCTTAATTTTATGCAGACTTCAATTTTGAACATTATTTTGCTTAAAATTAGCCTCCTGATTCTTTCTAAATGAAATATTTTGTAGACTATTTCACAGCAAAATTTCCAAATCTGTATGAAACTTTAAAAATTGGACAAGGATTGGCAATTGTTTTGTAAAGAATCTGTGAATTGTGTATATATCTCTTCTAACATTTAATAAAAATTTATTTTAGCTTACTTTGAAATGTGTCTACTATGGATTTTTAAAAAATAACCAAAACCCTTTAAGATAGACAAGGTGTGTGAATTAAAGTGCCATAAATAGATATTTAATAAACATGTACATTCATTGTATAGATGTTTTATTAGAAAATGGACAAAGTAGCAACTATAGAATTTATTGCTTCTTAAATATCTCTTGCACAGATTACTTAATATTTCATGTTAACATATGTATGTCAGGATCCCTAAGGCTACATTTGTGTTCAGTAATGCACTAGAAGGACTCACAAGACCCAGAAAAGCTGATATATTCATGATTATTGTTTATTAAAGCAAAAGGATACAGATTAAGACCAGCAAAGGGAATAGGCAAATGGGTGGAATCGAGGAAAACCAGGCACAAGTTCACAGATGTCTTCTCCCATGGAGTTGCAAGAATAATGCTTAATTCTTTGAGCAATTTTTTATGGTATGTAAAGTGTCACCAACCAGAGAAGTTCACTCAAGACCTACTGTTCAGTGTAGTATTTTGTTTTTTGTTTTTGTTTTGTTTGGGTCAGTTATCGAGTCATATGGTGCCTGTGTGATTGATCAACATTCAGACCCCAGAACCTTCCCTGAAGTCAAACTGATAAAGCATAGTACAGGGCTCCAGGTCTACAAAATAGGCATTCACCATAAATTGGATTTTTAGCATAAACTGTCTCCTGTGGCCAATTGGCATCTGGGGTACACAGTGATAATCAAAGCCTGCTGAGTTAACCCTTTACTGTGCAATATCACATGTCAGAAGTCCAGATTTAGGAACCAGGATATAGTATGGTGGCACACACCTATAGTCCCAGCTACGCAGAAACAGACTCAAGAGAATCATTTGAGCCCATGAGTTAAAGATAAGTCTAGGCAACATAGTGAGGCCCTCAGACTCCTGTCAAGAAGTTTCAAGCAGGTGGTGATCTGATGTTCACTTTTTTTTTTCTTTCATAGACCATGACTTAAGTGTAGTTTCTCATTTTTTATCCTTTTTCAATATAATGTTGTGTATATGAGTTTGATATTGGCCTCTCTTCAAAACTGAGATAATAAAATCTAAATTGTATTACTTACAGAGATTAATAGTCTTCTCACAAATGAAATGCCATATTGTCCTTCTGAAAGCCTGCCAAGTATTTACTTAACATGGAATGGATATTGTGGCTTTATCTTGACTACATTTTGATTTTGTTCTGATGGTGACTATGGTCTTCCAAGGATTCTTTGTGTGATGTTATTTTCACTGAAATGAGAAAAGATTTTCTGCTTCTTCTAATGTTTCTCAAGAAACATTTTCCCAAGAGAAAAATCAGTTAAATAATATTTCAAATTAGAAGATGATGAAGACAAAGATTGCCAGGAACATATTTCCCCATCCCCCACATAAAGACATAAAGGCCATATTTGCATAATGGTTAAGAACATGAATCGTGGAGACACACTGCATAGCTTTGAATCCCAGCATTGCTGCTTGCTAACTATGTGATCTTGAATGTGTTATGTAATTTCTCTAAATTTAAAGGGGCACCTAATTCAGAAGGTTGTTATAAGAACTAAGTGAATATGTAAAAACTCAGAATAGTACTTGGCAGATTCTATCAAGTTCAAATATGATCTAAGGGGCTGGGGTTGTAGCTCAGCATTAGAGCTCTCGCCTAGCATGTGCGAAGCCCTGGGTTCGATCCTCAGTACCACATATAAATAAATAAAATAAAGATATTGTGTCCAACTACAACTAAAAAATAAATATTAAAAAAAATATGACCGGGCTGGGAATGTGGCTCAGGCGGTAGCGTGCTCGCCTGGCATGCGTGCGGCCTGGGTTCGATCCCCAGCACCACATACCAACAAAGATGTTGTGTCTGTCGAGAACTAAGAAATAAATATTAATAAAAATTAAAAAAAATAAATAAAATAAATATGACCTAAGATTACTTTGTTCTTAGTTCCTATCTATTGAATAAGGTGATCCATTAATATTATAAGATTGATCCATTAATATTACAAGATCTACTTTTCCTTCTTACATATCTTCTTCAAATACTAGCATTTCTCAGTAAGCAGGAGGTGATTAATATCTGTGTGATGATTAACATCTCAGGGACTCAGATTGGACCTAGCTTCTGCTTTCACCCTAATTCTAATCTAGACTCTTGTTTGTACTTTAGACTAGTTTATTCTGTGGACAGACAGTTTTACACACCAGAAATTTCCTTTTATTGAGCTAAAGTCTGTTTTAGTAAAGGATTGTTTTGTTCTAAAGGACAACAGGAGTTTATTATGTCATGTATGAATTCTTATGCCAGGAAATCAAAGATGGAGATCATACCTCTCCTTTACTCATAATAATGGCATAGTAGATGAATCTGAGTTTAATTTGTTTTAATAAACACCTCTGGTGGTATGTGCCTGTAGAACCTGTACTCCCAGCTACTTGGGAGGCTGAAGCAGAAGGTTTGCTTGAGCTCAGGAGTTTGGGGCAGCCTGGGCAATATAGTGAGTCTCCATCACTTAAAAAAAAAAAAATAAAAGTGGACATAGTGGTGCATGTTTATAATCCCATCAATTTGGGAAACTGAGGCAGGAGGGTCACAAGTTCAAGGTCATCCTTAGCAATTTAGTGAGACCCTATCTCAAAAAATCTAAAGGACTGGGGACATAGCTTGGTTGTAAAGCACACCTGGGTTCAATCTCCAAATGAATGAAAATAACACTCATGGGGGCTGGGGTTGTGTCTTGGTAGAGTGCTTGCCTAACATGTGTGAGAGGTTCAATTCTCAGCACCACAAATAAGCAAATAAAGATCCAACAATAACTAATAAAAATATTTTAAAAAACAGCATTCATAAGAAATGATGCTTTTTTGCATTGTACAATAATCAACAATGTACTAGAACCCACTATTAATTGTATTTCCAAAACTTCAAACCTTATATAAATGATTTTCTTACACTCCACTGAGCATTTTATAAGTCCTAAGAGCCTGTGATAGAGGTAGAATGAAATGTTTCAGACACTGAGCAGAGACCACTTGCCTCATCAGGGAAGAGAGTAACCATCTGGTATCTATAGTGATGAATCAATGAGAAACTGAGCCTAGAGAGTCCTCCATGATCAATCTTCATTTTTCTTGGTAGCCTGAGCTACAAAGAACCACTGAGGCATTGCAGCAACATAAATCTAAAAATCTGCAGAGTGACTCACTCTGTTTTATTATAACCCCACTGAGTGTATGTGAGTGTGTGTGTATGTTGTAAGAAAGAATTTATATATCTTAGCTGGTCCCCACTCAAACCTAGTAAGCTTGTGAAATCATAAAACATGGGGGCAATCAAATCATCATCTAGGAGATCAATAGAAGAGGAGAGGAGCCCTTTGATCTGTTTAGTAATTATTCCTTTAAGGGATGCAGCTGAGCATGGTAATGTAATAAAAACAGTTCTTTGTTCAGCTGGATTCAGAAGCATATACGAGTCTCCATTTGCAAATGGCATATCCATGTGGGAGATTTGTAAGTTGCAAAATGCATGATGATATCAATCTAACCTGTGCATTAAATTGGGAAATGTTGCAAAGCCAGTATTGTATATTCTGTAAAGAAAAACCATTTACATGTGAACTCCTTACAAAGATCTCCTCTCTCAGTTATTTCCATTTTACCTTACTGTGCATTTTTGGGTGCACCAATTTATTTGATTTTAAGGGAAAAAGTATTCTTGCAATTTAGATGTTTTTCAAGACCTTGGAGATGTCTGCTAACATAATAATAAAAATAACAGCTGGGAGTAGTGATAAGTGCTCCTAAGTTAGCAACATTTCTACCTGTTTTGTTTCTTCTTCTTTTACATCCAGGGTGACTTCTGACTTTTTCTGCAGGATCTGTTTTGAAATCAATACTCTGATTAGATCTGGCTTATGTTTCCAAAAGGGACTCCTCCTTATTAGGATGGACGCAGGTGGCTGTAAACAATGGTCTCAGCTGGAGAAGGAGCTGTATAGACTTCTAAGACATTTTTCTTATTCCATAAATTCCCTACCAGTGGATTTTTCAAATTGAGGTAAGGTTTACATCACATAAAAATCAATCATTTTAAAGTAAATCATTCTATGTCAGTTACATGTCCTCTAATTTCAAAAGATTTCCCTCATTCCAAAGTAAAACCCAAACTCATGGACTACTCACTCCCCATTGTTCTCTCTTCATTCCTGGGAATCACCAATCTGCTTTTTTTGTTCCAGTGTATTTTTATAGTATTTACTCCTTTATTTATTTGGTACCAGGTATTAAATCCAGGGGTCCTTTACTCTGATCCACATTCCCAGCCCTTTTTATTTATTTATTTATTTTAAAACAATTTTTTGGGCTGGAGATGTGGCTCAAGCGGTAGTGCGCTTGCCTGGCATTTGTGCGGCCCGGGTTGGATCCTCAGCACCACATACCAACAAAGATGTTATGTCCGCCGAGAACTAAAAAATAAATATTAAAAATTCTCTCTCTCTCTTCTCTCTCACTCTCTCTTTAAAAAAAAAAAATTTTTTTAGTTGCAGATGGACCCAATGCCTATATTTTATTTTTACATGGTGCTGAGGATCAAACCCAGTGCCTTTCACATACCAGGCGAGCGCTCTACCTCTGAGCCCAGCCCCAGCCCCACCTTTTTATTTTTTTATTTTATTAATATTTATTTTTTAGTTGTAGTTGGACACAATACCTTTATTTTGTTTACTTATTTTATGCGGTGCTGAGAATCAATCCCAGGGCCTTACATGATAGTGCACTACCGATGAGCCACAACCCCAGCCCCAGTCCTTTTTATTTTGAAACAGGGTATTGTTATGTTGTTAAGCCTGGCCTCAAACTTGCAATCCTCCCACCTCACCCTCCCAAGTCGCTTGGATTACAGGCATGTGCCACCGTGCCCAGCTCTAGTGGATTTATCCCCTTTGGTACCAGGGATGGAACCCAAGGGCTTTTAACCACTGAGCCATA